ATTCAAAAACACGAAAATTCTGGCCTGGCAACGGGGGGCTGAAAAAGTGCAAAACACAGGGAGAGGAAACGCACAAGTGCTGTAAATACCAGCGAATTTGCCAGCAAAATTTACAAGACAAGAAGATTATGTGTAGAAAAACAAGTCGTCAATTGTGTAAAATGTGCCAAATAGTAGTAGTAGTAGTAGTAGTAGTAGTAGTAGGCGCACCCCCTCCCTACCAACTATGTTTCCCAGATTGCGCATGTTGAAACCAGGTAAAAACTGAGGAAATACTGATTTTCGTGGAATGCCAAGAGGCTTGTATTTTCGTAATGCGTTGGGATGCTGGGAGGGGGCGTGGGGCGGGGTAGGGTGGGGAGGGGGGAGGAGGTGGGTGGGGGCATAATGACGTCAATTTGAAGAGCACACGTGCAAAAACTATTGGCATTTACAGCACTTTTGATGATTTTGCGGGGGATGAGGCACGTTCCACACCAACCCTCTTTCGCTTGGGCTCTTGTCAGTCCATGCCGGACATTTAAGGGAAGATAGTTGGTAGGGGGGGGGGGGCGGCTAGTAGACTAGTAATAATAGTAGTAGTAGTAGTTGTTGTAGGTAAATCAGTTAGTAAGGAAGTAAGCGAGCAAGTAGGTAAGTAAGTAGCGGTGAGATCATGATTTTCGTAGGGATGATAACGCTGATGCTTACCAACCATGTCAGCAGCCATCACCAGGAGCACAAGTAGAACCAACTGCATCTCTGAACTTGGTCCCCGTCTTGAAGAAAAGATGCAAAAGTTTGAGGGTTTAGGGGTTATATAGGGATATATGAGTGTTATATAAGGGTTATATACGGGTTATATAGGGGTTATATAGAGGTTAGGGTTCATGATGTGGTCCTCCAAAGCCAGACACATGCCCTATTGAGAATGTGCAGGAGTCACCACCTGGGCCACCAAGGGATTTTGAGAAGGCTGCGCCCTGAAACCCTAGCCTACCCACGTCATGTGAAGCTACTGGGGAAGCATATGGCAGCCGTAAAGCCTAAACCCTTAGCCCTAAATCCAAAATCCCGAAGCCACCAACCCTCAACCCGCTCCGGTATCAGGCGATCTTCATTTTCGAGTATCAGAAGCAGTACACTGAGGCATTCGGGGTCAGTGGCACCGTTGAAGGTGTTTATGAGGTTCTACAAGGATTGTATGATCTCTTTGTGCCTTCGGCAAACATAGGGCTTCTTACGCACATTAGCGACGATAGGCTATGGGCGTCGTATGGGGGAACTATGGGATGGTGGACTCCGAGTCCCTGCCAAAGAGTCTTGGGAGGAGAAACAGAACCCTGAAGATAAGAGGAGCTGGCGTGCTGATCTTGCGATGCATGTTGGAGTGTCCAAAAGAAGAACTGAGCATTATTTCTTGAAGAGTTTTGAATAACCTTTGCTGTCATTGCTTTCACTACCAACCCATGAAGCTTCGCTACCATCGCGATTCTTGTGATTTGTGTTCCTATTTCTTCGTCGGAACTGACCTGCAGGTCATTTCAAATGCTCCGTTCCTGATGCTGCATGTGGATGCGTTGGACGCTTTGTTGAAGCCTCAGTCAGCTTCCAGTGCAGTTGCTCGTGGCAGGTTTCCTTTCGGGGTCTTCTATCCGGAAACCTGCTCTGTTCTTACTGGTAATCCCTTGCCCCTAGCATTAAAAAGATAAAAGCCTCCCCTAACATGAGATATCTCCAATAGGTGATAATATACAACCATGAAAATATTTAGTACTAGCGGGGTCGGGGTTTTATGTAAGTGGGAGGTGATTATTTACAGTGGGATCTTGTTCTGAAAGAAAACTGACGGTGAAGGGTTTGTTCTGGTCCAACCATAACTCCTATGATGCTACTACTTTTGTGTCAGGTATCGTGCTGGCTAGAAAATCCCAAACATTCACGACATGAGACAGCCGAAAAAAAACAACTACTCCAACCAAACCCTAAACACATTAAATCCTAGATCCTCCACCCCAAACCCTCCACAGTGTACCGAAGGGAGAGATTCTGGAATTGCCCTCGACAGATATAGGGTTTAGGGTTTAGGATTCAGGATTTAGGGTTACTTGCGTTATCAGGTTGAGATTTGCCCTGTCTAATGGGCATTCTTTGGATCTTTTCAGGGTTTAAGCCTAGTTGTGCCCCACGTTGAACCCTTCCTTGTCACTTATGCAAACAAGAAACGCTGAATGATTTGCAGGTTTAGGGTATGGGGTCTGAGGATGTGAAAATGTGTCGAGGGTTGCGCAAGCGATTCAACCAGCGATTCAAGAAAGACGACGCTGTCCAACTCAAGCTCTTGTCCGAAGACGGTACGCCATGCAGTTAACAAAGCTTGGAAAGGCAGCGTCCAGCTGACAACAGCAACAGTGGCAGTCGTCGTCGTGGCTGGCGTCGTCGTTGTAGAAGTAGTAGCAGTAGGAGGAGGGGATGGGAGGAGGAGTAGGAATAGGAGGAGTAAGAGGAGGAGATGGAGGATTAGGAGTATGAGTAGTAGTGCGAGCAACCGATACAGAATGACGCAGCTGCTCAGGCCCTTTGATGGAGTTGATCCTGCCGCGGATCCAGAGCCCTCACTCGCTGGCTGGTGCCGGTTCATGACCGGTGGGCCTTTCTCGTGCTGGAACTCGACTCCCTACGTTGAGAGCCTTTGCTTAGAGCCTCGGGCCGGGTCGAACACCATGCGCATGCCAACATGACGGCTTTGTTTTATATAACCCCAATATACTGGAGTAGTTTCCATGTTCTTTTTCCTTTTTTTCCGCTATTATATTGCCTTAAACAAGCCCAATATACTATAGTTGGTCTCATGTTTCTTGTCCAGAAGTTGGATTGCCAAGAACCTGACAAATGCGGACATTCAGTCGCAGATAGAGGTCCAAGTGAGTCTTGCTTGCACCTTGGATGCGCATTTGGGGTGCTACCCGTTGGCGACAGGCAAGGAGAAGAGAGAGGAAGCAGTGTGAGAGCAAGTCGGATCAGGGCGTGCCACACAAATATAAATCCCCAAACTCCTAAAACCCCAAACTCTAGACCCAAAAATCCCAAATCCCAAATCCTAGAACCCTAAACTCTAGACCCTTAATCCCAAAATCCCAAACCCTAAACCCCAACTTTCAGCCCTAAGCTCCAAGCTCTGTGCCATTCCTTGAGGCAGTCGCCTCTGTCCCCTCGGTGGGTCGCTGGACCCTACCTGCTTCTTACCTCCCACAAATTTTCAACAAGCAGGCCGGCCAAAACCCTAAACCCTATGTGAGCTAGAGTCTAAACTCCTGAAGGGGTGTTATATAGGGGATTATGTCAAAATGTAGGGGAGTGTTATAGAGGATATTCAGGGGGATACTAGGTGTTTAGACCCATGGCTCATGTGCTTCTACTTTCCGATTCCTGGATGGCTTACTTGGAGAGTCAGGGAGATTTAATCAGTAGGTTAATGGTGGGTATAACTAGGGCTATTACATGGGTTGCAAGGGTTGCCCTAAACTCTAAACCCTAAACTTACTTAACTAGGGTTATTGTATGGGTTATAGGGGTTACTAACCTACTTACTAAGTCCCCCTGACCCTAGAAGTATAGGTTGAGTTCTAGGCCCCTTAAGACAGGTCTTAGCTCTGGTCATTCATAGAGGGCTTAGGGTTCGGGGTTGAGGATTGAGGGTTTAGGCTATAGGGTTGAGGGTTTAGGGTTTAGGCTTAAGCGTGTAGGGTTTAGGGTACAGGCTTTAGGTTGAAGCGTTTAGGGTTTAGGGTTTGGGGTTTAGGGTGAAGCGTTTAGGGTTTAGGGCTTTGGACTGTCCATGAACGTCCATGCAATTCCTTCTTTGTCCTGTCAGGCAGCCGCACGCTTACCATCTACCCGTTCACAGCTGTTGGCACAGGTCCGGCACAGCCCACATCAGCGCTTGAAAGGGAAATCTTCTACATCACATGCACTACAACATCTAGAATATCGTAGGCGCTTAAGCAATTACCAATATGATTGTCCTGGATTCCTAGAATCATTTTGGTATAGGTGGCCCTCAAGATGATGCCCTACACTACAATCCATGTAATTAAGCCCCAATATAAACCCCGTTTTCATCTCATTTTCCGTCTTCATGTCCGTCTCCTTCTCCATGATACGGAGTAGTAGGATCTTTGCAGTTTGGATGACACATGAGCTACCGTCAATATTGGCTTATTAAGGAACCCTTAGCAGTGGACATGGGGGTCCTTCTGATAGTTTAGTACAATCCTTCGTAAGGAACCCATGCCCATTGAATTCTGTAGGAGATATTGACTCTGGCTCACATGAAGATGTTTGGAATCCAAGGTGTTCTTCTTCAGACTAAGCAGGTGCCACGCGGTTTGAGGGTTTAAGGGTTTAGGGTTGAAGACTTGCCTGAAGATTATGTATGATAGTACGGGTAGTCACGATGATATCAGTTTATGAGACAGAATAGCAAAAATGGTAACAACGAGCAATAATGGAAATGAGCGATAACAGTAAGAATAGTATTGATAGTACTAGTGACAATAATAGAAATAGTAGTGCTATTAGTATTAAGCGTAATATTGCTAATAGTGTTCTTCATAGCAAAATGTAATGGCAAGATCAGTAGAACTAATGATCGTAGTAAGAATAGTAACTTCAAAAGTAAGAGTAACAATATTCGTTGGGAGTACCCCAAACCCTTGAGCCTAAAGCCTAAAGCCTGAACCTTCAACCCTAAACCCAAAACCTTAAACCCTAAACCCTGAACCCTAAACCCTAAGGCCCAAAACCTTAAACTGCGTGAAGATTCTGAGCTTCAATGGCCGCCAGGTCTCATCTCTGGAGGGCAACTGCAACCCATGTTTATCCTGCTCCACCCTCTCGTCCGCCACGCGACCGTGGAATCTGGGTTGCGGTTACCTACGCGGTTTAGGGTTTAGGTTTTAGGGTTCAGGATTTACGTTTAGGGTTTAGGTTTACCCATAATATGGCAGCTTAACCAGCGACCCAGGAGTTTACCTACGTCTTCCAGATGACCCAGGCGGCACCGCAACTCAGCGGCAAGCAACCGCTCGAGCTCCTGACGTTGATGATGCTACGTATTACTATTACTATTACTATTATTATTACTATTACTATTACTATTCATTACTGTTCTTGTATTAGTATCTTTACTGCTATTACTATTACTATTACTGTTCTTATATTAGTATCTGTATTGCTCTCATTTCCATCATGTTTTTTTTTATTTCGAAAATACCAGTATTAAAGGGAAAAAAGGTACGCTGGGTCATGCAGGATTTCTACCAGCCACTGTACTTTGCGAGGTTCTTCTTTGGGCTGTATGACTCAGCATCTGGACGCAGGAACCAGGACAAAGCTTACACGGCCTCCTGGCTTAGAGTGGCGACCGAGAACAGGGATATATGAGCTATAGTCGAAGCTCCTGGGGGGTTATAAGATGTTTCTATAGCGGAGTACTATAGGGCTTATTCAGGGGGATGCTAGGAGTTTAGACTATAGCTCATATTGGGTCTAGCACTTCTGTAGGGGATAGAAATCGAGAATCGGACAAAGGGGCGCACAGAAATGAAACGAAACTGTGGTTGATGAGGATTTACAGTTCCGGGTTGACTTGCCAGTTGTCAGCAAGGAATGGAGGAAAGGAGAAGAACATGGAATTAGTTGTAGCAGCTTTATAGCATTTGAGATTATACAGGGATGCATTCCTGCGTTCCCTGCTATGTGCTAACAGGTAACAAGTCAGATAGGCAAGTGGCAGCGCGTGCCGTGCTCGGGCAGTTTTGATCTTGAGTCAACTCGTCTCGGACCCCCTGAGTGGTGCACGCTAAACATGGGCATTCCCCATGGAAGGCCTCCAAGAAACGACATTGTCGGCCGTGCGCCCTACACCCTGACACACTTCCTTAAACCCTAAACACTAATCCTTAAACCTCCTTGTTCATCCTTCCAAGGCTGTCGTGAATCAACACGAGCACGTAAAGCATTTCTTCGCCCCTGACGAGAAGGCCTGCGCCTGAACGGTTTCGGGTTCAGGGTTTAAGGTTTAGGGTTTAAGGTTTAGGGCTTAAGGTTTAGGGTTTAGAGTTTGAAGGTTGAGGCTTGAGGTTTAGGGTTTAAGGTTTGAGGCTTAAGGTTTGGGGTTTAGGTTTTGAGGTTTAAAGGTTCGAGGTTTACGGTTTAGGGCTAGGGCGTAGACCCAAACACCAAACAAATCCAGACTCCAAGCTCTGAACCCAAGGTGTAACCAGGCAGCGCCAGTTTTCAGAGGCCAGAAGTCTTTTCAAGGCAATTTTTTAAAAGGGTTTCACAGTAGTTTGGCAGAGGGTACTGTAACTCCGAGCCTCACATCCTATTACTGAAGCTGAGACGTAATTAAACCCGAAGTCGTGATCCCTAAACCCTAAATCCAAATCCCTCATACCCTAAATCCCTTAACCCTAAACCCTAAATCCGAATCCCTCATCCCTAAATCCCTTAACCCTAAACCCTAAATCCGAATCCCTCATCCCTACACCCTAATCCTAAATCTAATTGCCTCCTCTGCCCCCAGCCAGTCAGTTTCCCTAAGCCAGCAATCGTAGTGAGCAGATGCTCTGCTACTTCCTGGTGGTTAGTATCAGCATGTAAGGTTCATGGTTTAGGGATTTTCTAGTGGTTTAGGGTTTAGGGTTTAAGGTTTAGGATATCGGGCTAAAGGTTTAGGGTTAAGGTTGAGGGTTTAGGGCTAGGGTTTTCGACAGTGTTAATTTAAGGGGGTCATGAAACTAACGGACAATTAAATGGTCATTCGAATGGAACATGAAATGCGAGCTGGATGATTTAGTGTTGTTATATCGGGATTTCCTATAGGTAGTTGAGAAATGCAGGGGGTGAAGGGCTGGAACAGAAGATGGAAACTACTTTTGGGGTTTAGGATTTCGGGTTTGTTTGGGGTTTAGGGTGAGTATTGGTAGGGAATGAAGGAATGCTGACTACTATACGGATCTGCTCCTCCATTCCTTACCAGCCAGCTTGTCCACATATACATCGAAGGCTTCCCCGCGATATGCAGTCCTTACCAGCCAGTAAGGCCAACTGTAATTGATATTTCAAGGGACGATTCCAGCATTTACGCGCAAGAGGGGTTTCCAAAAACGGGTGACGAGGGCTTGATAGCACCGGTTATAGTGCATTTAAGGGGACATTGGTTTTTGGGAAAACCAAAATTTACATGAATATCCCTAAACCCTAAACCCTAAAACCCTAAACCCTAAACTACGTGGGGTACCCGAAATCTCCCTGTAATCCTCATCGACTGGGAGTCCCCCGGAAGGGTATGGTCCTTTCTCGAATTCATCCCTTCTTGATATTTGGGCTACAGTCTAAACTCCCTAAAGGGGTTGTATAGGGGATCGTATACGGGAGCATTATAGGGGTTATTAAGAGGGATGCTAGGAGATTAGACTATAGCTCATTTAATGGCTTCCCGAGAAAGGGTTCCTCGCAATTTGGAGAGGACGCAGGCGTCGCACGGGTTTAGAGGAGAACTCCAGTTGATCTCTTTTTGGAAAGTTGGCTTCCGGTCCCTGTATTCTTTTAAAAAGGTGCAAAGTTCTTAGATGTGAAAAAGAGGACCTTAATCTGGTCTTCTATCCATGGACAGAAGATGAAGTGCATGTGCACAGAATCAAATAAGGTTTGTCAAGGGTTCACAAGCCAAACATGTGGTAGATGTTCAGAATGGGTGTCTGGTCATAAGATATGTTCAATTTTCGGTTAGCATCCCATTTCACGAATTGTATTCCCAACGGTTCCTCCTTTAGAAGGATCCTTAGGGCAACTGCCGTGTGCCGCAGCGACGGTAGCTTGGTAGCAGACTCGCAACCATGTGAGTCAGCTGTAATTCTTCTGTGTATAACCCCAGTATACTATAGTAGTTTCCATTCTATTTTCCATTATCCCAATATAACCCCAATATAGTTTCCATTCTATTTTCCGTTATCCCAATAAAACCCAAACCCTAAACCCTAAACCCCAAACCCTAAACCCTATAGACTATAGTAGCTTGCTCCTGTGAAATGCATGGGCAGGTGCTCTTGTCTCCCGTTGACATTGTGCCTCGACTGCAACTCTGAACCCTTTGATCTACAGCCCCCCGTAGGTAGATGCCAAGCGGTTTAGGGTATAGGGTGGTCCCCCTTAAGTACTGTAGATAGAATATTGGGGCTATACAGGATAATGGAAAAGAAAATGGAAACTAATATTTAGGGTTTAGGGTTTATAGTCCCCTTTAAGTAGATTGTCTATGGCTTCGGGTATACTATAATAAGATCCCCATCTACTCCATATTCTGTCGACGAAAGGGGGAATCTAGACCAGCAAGCTCAACATCCAAGCCTCTTTCAGATTCGCGCCGCTGGGCGTGAGTGGAACGTTGAGACCCTGATGCTTGGCGCAGAGTTCTATGCCGAAGTCAACTGCTACAGCGATGGCTGCTTTGGTAGCAATGACGTCAAGTGAGTAAACCAGCAACTTGGGATCCGTTTCCATATGGCCGGGGACCACCATAACAAGGGGCAGGAGCTGTTGATGTTGTACGCCAGCCGGCAGCGTCTTTTGAGGTTATGATCTTTCCGCTTCGATGGACTGGTCAAACTTCACATACGTGGCGCCCACGCCGGATGTTCCTCTCTGCATCATGACTGTCGAGCAGCTGCAGGGTGCCGCAGTCAGCTCGACTATGGACGGCATTAACGATGTCATTCTCTCGCAATCGAGGTGGGGAGCTTGTTTGCTGTCATGACCTTTATTTCTTGGGTTTAGGGTTTAGGGTTTAGGGTTTGGGGTTTAGGTGTCTTTGCTGTGAAGGTTTCGCATCGACACTGGCAGAGGAAGCAGCCACCACCGGATGCCCTCAGTCTCTGCCATACTACTCAATCTGATCTCCCTCTTCGACGCCTGTCTTCACAAGATAGTGGTGCCCCTGAAGTATGCGTTGCTACTTGAGGAGCTACCTTACTTGTGATTGTCTTGCAGATAGTTGGTAGAGAATGAAAGACGGAAACTCCTTTAGCTAATGAGATCCATTCTCCAATGCCCTTCAAACGAACGCCAAGTTGTAGTGGGTGTACCGCACGATGCGCCTGAAATACCGACAGCAGCAGTAGCAAATCACACGCTACCGCATCCAGAGCACACGTGCTTCAATGTTCATGGGGCCTAGTACCTACTTCTAACTGCTTATAGCCCTAGAATTTTCAGTGGAGGTTACTTTTCCAGAAATATGTAGTTACTAAGTCTCATGAACCTTCAAGTGCGTGCCCCCTCTCAGGTTCTGCTCAAGGCCGGATTTCCGAAACTTGTGCATTTCTACAGTGTGGAAGGATACGGATGGTACCGTCATGAGGAAATTTTGATGACGCGTGTTGTTCTTGTACCCTACGCCCTACACCCAAACCCTAAACTCTAAACCCCTAGCCCCCACCATCTGAGAGAACAGGTACACACCCCCTCCCAAAAAAAAATCAGCGCCTAAACCTAGACCCTAAAGGTGAGAAGCGGCTCTTGGTTATGATCTCTTTTGGATTTAGGGAGTTTAGGGTTTTTGCTGCAGGTATGCAGATGGTTCCGGCACTGGTCTCACCAGTGTTGTATTCAATAAGTTAGGGTTCAGAGTTTAGTGTTTAGCGATTAGGGTTAAGGGTTTGGGGCTACTGCAAGGACCCAATCATGTTTGGGATGACTGGTTGATCCAAACCTGACTTCCCAAAGTAATCCTTGCTTTGTCTTTACATGAAGTCTGGTTCTGTCCCATATAATAAGTTCAGCAGCTAACCCTGGTAGTCACAAAGAAAGCCGTAGAAATGGTGTTAGCAATGCCAACCATATTAGGGATCACTAGTACTGCTGGATCCCTGGATATCCTCAAACCTACACAGACATCAAACATCTACCAGGTACCTCAAGCGGTTACCATGCTCTTCGCTCACATGTGCTTGGGCTCCTTGCCCCCGGGCTGATTGATTAGGGTTTAGAGTTGAAGGGGGCCCTATACCCTAAACCCTACCTTCGGAGCCAGAAACTGAGATAAACCTTATACTAGAAGGCCCTATACCCTAAACCCTAAATCACAGTTTCCATTTCATTTTCCATTATCCCAAAATAACCCCAATACCTAAACCCTAAACCCCAAACCCTAGATAATTTAATAGTTTCCATTTTATTTTCCATTATCCCAATATAACCCCAACATAGCCCTAATATTCTATCTACTTAGGGGGGACTATAAACCCCTAAGCCCTAAACCCTAAATAGTAGTTTCCATTTTCT